ACTTCGTCGCACGCTGTCAGTCGCGTGCAAAAGCTTGCCGAAAAGGGAACTTCGGATGCCGGCGAACTATAGCAATCATGCGCTGTTTTCATACCTGCGCGTGCTCTCCCTGCGACCGCGCGACGACAACAAATTGCCGCTTTCGCGAGAGCAGTGCGCATGATTGTTGTAGTTCGCCGGGATCCGAACTACCCAATTCGCCAGGCAACAACATGCCACGCGTCGTTTTCTGTTTGGTTGTTGTTGGTTTCGCGCTTGCAGTCACAATCTGGATCACAAACGCATCCAACCGACCAGGCAATAGATTAATTGCGATCGGACGATTTCTCGTGTGTGCTGCACCGAAGACGTCGCCGATTGTGTGTTTCGATCGTCTCAACGGAAAAACCAAAACACACGCGGCAATGTGCATGCGTGCGTGTGTGTTTGCGTGTGCGCGTGTGTGTTGTATGAGCTCCATAACCTGTTTTGTGTTTCGGAAGGCGATGTGCGTGCGCGTGTTTCTATGCGTCTGCGTGTTTCTGTGTGATAGTCATGGACTGACCAGTCGATTGGTCAGGGAATCTGCCTGGATCAACTGATTGGCTATTGATCAACCACCACACCAACCGCCAACCGAGCAGCCGATCAATCAGATGATACTGACAGATTTCATTACCAATCGATTGTTCTGTGCACATTGATCGTGGAGAATCCTCAAAGCAAATGATCATGTGCACGATCGAAACCTTTGAATGAATCACACAACCTTGTCACAATCTTGTCGCACATCGAAAGTCGATCCCGATCTGTGAACGGAAAAAAAGCACTCCGTCACAATCTTGTTGCATATCGAACGTCGTACATCAAACCCGGCTCCACATCAAACTTTGGCGGGCGTCGAACCTCGTCGGACGTTGAACTTTGGAGGACGTCGGGTCATCGACACTTGACGGTCACCGAACGGCGAACGCGGAGCAGCGACCACCCCACGCATCGCCGACACAGTCCTCGTCATCGGAACGTGACCATCCTAATCCGCCAGCACAAACTTGGCAGTGCCAATCGAACTGATCGCACAATCAAACACCGGAAGAAGTCCGGATTCCGGCGAGCTTGAGCAGCTATTCGAACTCGTTTCACAACCCCGGAACGCAACTGCAGTCGCGGACGTGCGAAAATTTGAAGTTCATCGGGATCCGAACTTCAAGAAATTGTTGGACGGCCAGTTTGGCAAACAGGTGTGTCTCTCCCACGCAATTTCGCGAAGTTCGGACCCCGACGAACTTCAGGTTCCCTCCTTTTGCAAGACATGTTTGCGGATCGCCGCTGGCCTGTGGATCCGAACCTCGCTTGCACGGTTCCTTGCACAATCATCAACTCCGGACCTCGGTGAACCTCTGATTCGTTGAAAATGTGAAGTCCGCCGGGATCCGGACTTGTCCTTCACGGTTCCTTGCACAGACCTCAAGTTCGGACCCTGGCGAACTTAGCTTTTCGCATTGTGCGGGTTACGATTGCAGACCTTCTAGAGCCCGAGGGATTGGCACAACCACGGATTCGAAAAATGTGAAGTCCGCCGGGATCCGAACTTCTCACGCACGGCTCCTCGTTCAATCGCTGAATTCGCCGGTTGTTTCACTCCCGCGCGGTTTTGCCAAGTTCGGATCCCGGCGAACAACAGGTTCCCGCCTTTAGCCATACATTTTTGCGACTCGCTTGCCCTCCCGTGGATCCGTACCTCGCGTGCCCGGTTCCTCGCACGTTTGCCAAGTTCAGAACCCAGCGGGCTTTGGATTCATGAAAATGCAAAGTCCATCGGGATCCAAATTTCTCGTGAACGGTTCCTCGTGCACTCGTCAAGTTCGGACCCCTGCGAAGTTCGCTTCCCGCATGGTGTGGGTTCTGTCTGTGGGCTTTCTCGCGCCCGGTGGTTTGCCACAACTTTTGTTTCGCAGAAATGCGAAGTCCGCCGGGATCCGAACTTCTCGCGCACGGTTCCTCGTCCCATCGTCGAGTTCGCTAGCTGTGTCTCTCCCACGCGATTTCGCCAAGTTCGGATCCCAGCAAACTTGAGATTTCCTCCTTTCGCAATTTGTGTTTGCGGCCCGCCTGTTGTGCCGTGCTTCTATAACTGCCGTGCACGGTTCCTCGGACAATCGTCAATTCCGAATCCCGACGAACTTCAGATTCGAGAGAATGCAAAGTCCGCTGGGATCCGAACTTCTCGTGCAAGGTTCCTCGTGCGGTCGTCAAGTTCGGATCCCGGTGAACTTGAGATTTCCTCCTTTCACAATTCGTGTTTGCGGCCCGCCTGCTGGGCCGTGCTTCTAAAACTGCCGTGCACGGTTTCTCGGACAGTCGTCAATTCCGAATCCCGGCGAACTTCGGATTCGAGAGAATGCGAAGTCCGTAGGGATCCGAACTTCTCGTGCAAGGTTCCTCGTGCGGTCGTCAAGTTCGGACCCAAGCGTACTTCGATTCTCGGGTGGTGTGGGCCTGCTGGGCCGTGCATCGAAAACTGCCGTGCACGGTTCCTCGGCCAGTCATCAATTCCGAATCCCGGCGAACTTCAGATTCGAGAGAATGCGAAGTCCACTGGGATCCGAACTTCTCGTGCAAGGTTCCTCGTGCGGTCGTCAAGTTCGGACCCAGGCGTACTTCAATGTTCGGGTGTTGTGGGTTCTGACTGTGGGGTTTTCTGGCGGCCAATGGATAGCCACAACTTCGGATTCTTAAAAATGTGAAGTCCGTCGGGATGAGAACTTCAAGAAATTTTGGGACCCCGAGTTTGAGAGACACCTTTATTTCTCCCGTGCAGTCTCGCCAAATTCTGATCACAACGAACATGAGGTACCCAGCTCTCGTAGGACATGATTGCGGCTGGCCGGCCGGCCGGCAGATGTGAACACCGACCAGGTCAACCGCTCGAAATCGGATCTTCGAGCGTGCGTTCCGTCGGGTGCCAAGGGTCGCAGATCGCAAAACACGACGTGTTTACGAGTGTCTCTGTGCCCGTGTGTGTCGTTTGGCATGTGCGCGTGGTGTGTAGGGTGCGTTATGGAGGCGACCTTCTCGGCACCACGAATCGTGGAGCCGATCTTGTCGACACCACAGACCATGAGTCCCGAGACGCACATTCGCTTGGCAGAACCGTCTCCTCCCTGCGCGCGATCCGTGCGGTATTTTAACGGTGTGACTACGGTCCATGGAGCGACCGCAGAGGACTTCGACGAGGACCCCTGGATGACCGTCGTCCCGTGCCTGGAGGGGCATGTTGACGGCTGGTGCGATCGGAATTGGGCCACAATGGAGAGTCGCTATCCTCGGGCAAGCCAGTACATGTCCGTCTTTTTCGAGAGGGCATCGGTAGACGAACCGCAGATCCACGTATACGGATCATCAATGAATGCTTTGTATGGCTTCGGTTCACGAATGTCGACACATCTGAACGAGATGTCTATCTCTGACGCCGTCTCCTTCACTGCCGCGCCCCGGCGAAGTTCGGATCCTGGCGAACTTCGCGTTTTGGGGTGTGCGTTGATTTGGCTTCGGTACTGTTGGCGTCGGGCGGGCCGCACAAACCAGCGGGGCCCACGGGCAGGGTCTTGCTTGAGGCCGCAGGCCCGTCCGACCGGCCTTCGAGCTGCAAGTGCTTTCCGGAGACCAAAATCCAGCTGGGCGCGGCGTTCATAAAAGATTTGCGACCAGTTCCGCCTGGGCACGTTTGCGATCTGAGACCGCCGCCAACCGAAGTGTGGAGGACCCTGTCCGTGTTCGGTTGCCGCACGTCCACCATCGACATGTGCCAAACAGTCGATCATTGTGGTTGCGAAATGCCAAAAGCACTCTTAGGGATCCGAGTCGCAGAGTTCGACGCCGGCCGAACAATTTTGAAGTTCTCCCTCCAACACCTTGCTTGGACCCCGTCTTGCGTCTAACCTCATACGTGATCCGGTATTTCTCTCTGTGTGTCTTCCTCGCAGCGTCCTTGAGTTTGGATCCCGGCGAACTTCCTGTGACGCTTGTCTATTGGACACACACTGGTCTTCCTGATCCCCCGTGGATTGCGAGAACAGTTCCTGTCCGCCCTGCTCCGCACGTTTCATTCTGCCCCACCAGGGACCCATGCAATGTTGTCACGGCTGCTGCGCATATTAGAAGAAATTCGGATTTCGGCGAACTTATCCTTCTCAACCGGCCTCTCATGTTTGTGTGTCATTCCCAGGTCATGTTTTCTTTTGGGTCCACGGATCGTGTGTCTCTGACGACGTCTCTGCCTGTCGCATCGTCCTGACGTTCGGATCCTGGCGAACTTCACGTTTTGGGAGGTGCGTTGTTTTGTCTTCGGACATGCCCGTCCGCTGGTTCGCACAACCCGCTGGTTCGCACAACCCGACTACGACTTCTGGTTTTGATCAAATGCAGTTCCAGAGTGTGTTCGCTCGAGAACGGTTCTGGAACGCCGACTGCATGGGCTGGCTGTTTCTCTCTTTCTTTCGCACCATCTTTTAGTCTGGACCCGGGCGGACTTCGCGTGCCAGCCTGTCCGGGTTCCGAGTGCTGGGCGGAGGACACTACACCGTCCAACTCGAGCTTCGAACATGACCGGCAGTCCTTTGGTTCGGATCCCAGCGAACTTCTCGATTTTCCCTATGCGTTGGTCTGTCTTCGTTCTTCCGGTGCATAAACGACGCTTGATCCCCGACACTCTGCCTCTCCGCCTCGTGCACTGTTGAAATTTGCGTGCGGATTTTGCTGCGCAAGAGCCTGCGTTGCCGTGTGCCGACGACTGTTCTGTTCCTGATGTGTTTTTCCAAACGTTGACTGCATGGTGCGTGGTGTGATTTGGGTTGTTGTTCGCAGACAGGATGTCTTCTTCAAAGGGTGAGGTGGAGCCAACGGGGACCTCCGGGAACACATCCGGAAAAGATTCCACGAGGAGGTCGTCTACTGCCACGAAAGGGTGGTCGAACCATTCGAAGTCGAAATGGTTCATCGACTGGTGCTGTGGAGACGCTTCCAAATCTTGGGGTGGGAGGACGCGAAGGGGGGCTGACGACATTTCCGTATGGAAAAGGTTTATGGCTCCAAGGGCAACGTCGTTGCCAATTCGAAAGGGGTGTTGTTGGACCTCCAATTGTGTGAGGGGTTCGGAGTGGGTGTTGTGGAGACCCCGTTCTACAGAGAACTCGTTCTCGTGGGTGGTTTTGTTTTGGCGCGTGAGTTTTTCGACAAGCTGGAGGACAAGAACTTCGTTCTCGACGTCCCCTGCGACGTCGGCCCCTCCCTGGAGCTGTCGTTGCCGTTCAGGCCGTGCGGCGGTTACGAGTCAAGCGGGGCGGCGGCGGAGGGCGGTGATCTGGGTTCTGGTCTGGCTACTCAGCTGCACCGTGGCGAGAGTCGGGGACAGTTCGACGACAGCGAGGACGAGGGGCCTGCAGTGCCGTTGAGGGACAGGCGGCGGTCTGTGTTGTCTATTCCTGGGGTCGACATTCGCGATTCGGTTCAACGGGAGAGTGCGGAACCTACAAGAAAGGTGGCAGCCTCTTCGGAGGTCGACTTGGAGGCGAGCGAGGGCCAGAGTGTGGATGAGGTAACCGCGGGCGGCCTGGGCACGCAAGGCACTCCGCAAAAGAGGAGGGGGGATCGCACAGACGAGTTCGTCGGTTCTACGAAGAAGCTGAAGAGCAAGGCCCCCAGGACTGCAGGAGAGAAACGCAAGGGGACCGAGGGGGAGCAGGGCCGGCAGGTTGCCAAACGGTCGTCTTCGAGAGAGAAGCAGCCTGCGTCTGGAACGTCTTCTCCACCGACGGAAAGGCCTCCAATCGACGTCGACGCCGGGTATTTCCTCGAGTACAAAGACGGCGTTCGGACAAAGAGGGAGTTCGAGGTTAGCCCTGCGCAGGTCATCAACCTCGGAGAGTGGGAGGACATGTACAACCAGCGGTCCTTGGATCCCGTGCTTGTGGAAGAAATCAAAGAAGCGATGCGGTTGGCGTTCGAAAACAAAGCACAGTCTTACGATTTGCCTACCCTGAAGCTGGCACCGCTGGGGCTTGATAAACTGACTCCGGGGACCAAGGCAGAACGTCTGAGGCCGGAGGAATGGATGGATGAGCTGGCGGGGCAATACTACTACTACGTGGTGTGTGGGCAGCACAACGCGGCTGCAACGAGGTCGCTGCTCGGCAGCGAGGTGGCCAGGAAATACAATTTCGAGCGGTGGCCTGCATGCATGCTCTACTTTTCGGACGACGACTTCGAAGGGCACTTCCTTGTCAGTTCCCAGGACAACAAGAAGGACCTGAAGGCGCCCCCGAGACAGCTGAAGCTGTCAATGAAAGACATTAGGTGGCAGTGGAAGCGCGACGGGTGCCCGCGTGCTCTTATGGAAAACTGCAGCGGAAAACAGGATCAGGTCCGAAAGTGGCGTGAATTTTGTGAAGTCGCGCTCAATATGACGCTGCACAACAACTTGCGGATGCTGGCAGATCAGAAGGGCGACGACGCCATCAGGAAGCAAGGCGCTGCCCTGCGTTCCTATTTCCCGCTGGCAATGGCAGGGGAGAACGTTTGGAAACTGGTCGTCGATTTTTTTGTGAAATGGGAGACTGGTAGATTGCTCGGCCACGGCGGCGCAAAGTGGATCATGCGGAAGAAGAAGGTCAAAAATGTGAAGCCCGGGGTTGCCTACATCGAGAACGACAAGACGGGCAGGAAAGAGGTCGTGTACAACGTCCCTGTGGACCCGCCGACAAAGAAAGGCAAAAAGGAGAAAGAGGAGGGCGACTGGTTCGTGCAAGTGCCTGAGCCAGACGCACATTGTTGGAAAGCGATGGAGTCGCTGACTGACAACGAGAAGCGCCGCGTCTTGAAGAAGGTGCTCGCTTGCGAGGTGGTTTGGGTCCAGGCCGGCTCCGCGGCGTTGGCGAAGCTCGGGAAGCTGAGCGTCCAAGACATGGTTCATTTGGTGAAGTGCGACCGGGTGCTGGTGCGTCTGTGGAACTACTACCAGTTCTAGCACGGGAAGAGGCCGGACGCGGATTGGAGCCAGAGGTGCCCGTTCCTGAAAACAAGGTCCGCAATTTTCAAACAGTTTGAGAGTCGTGGTTTGGATGACCAGTTGTTCAAGAACTGCCCGCCTTACATGGGTTGCGACGACGACCAATTGATCAAGGCGACGGAGAAATTGGCCGGTCAAAAGAAGTTGTCTGTCGACTGGAGGAATAAGGTCCTATCCGTGTTGTTTGACAGTAGACTGAACAGTCCCGAGATCGCGCTTGCCGAAGGAATTGTGCACATAAAATGGAAAGACACGGGCGACGTGACATCCATCGCGCCATTCGGCAACGACCCCTTGGAGGCAGACATAAGGTGTGCGGAGGTAAAGGAGGCGGTGGTTGCCACAAAGAGTCACACGTTCGTCCTCGATCTCTGCGATCCAGTGGACCTGCAGCTGTGGAAACCGCAAGCGTTCGACACTCTGGATTCCCAGCTTCAGACGTGGTGTCCGTCGCATTAGACGCTCGTCGTTTTCGTCCCGCGGCAGCAGAACCTCTCGTTTCTGGCCAGCATGAACCACCTTTTTTTCGTGAAGATGCTGGAAGGGAAGTGGGTGAGGAAGAGTCAACAGAAGAAAAGCTTCCCCGTCGGGAATAATTTGTACACGGAAGACGACCGGATGTACATACTCTTCAAAGGCGACGATTTGCGCGCAAACACGCCCGTCGTTTACGAGGGGAAACTGCCTCCTGACGCCGCTGCTGCAGTGCGGCTGCCGCAGAAGGTTACGCAAACGTTTGTGTTCGACATCCCGTTCAACCCTTGCGATTGGTCGCATGTCTCGCCTACGCATCGGGGCAGTGTGTACGGGGACATGGAACGCAACTCCACGCACTTCGTTAATCTTCTCGAGTCTGTCACCAAGAAGTGGGACAGTGTAGTCTTCCTGGGGAAGCCACACGCGCGATCCGTGAGGGAACTGCTGAAGGCAGGATGGCACGTCATCGCAATGGAAGGGAACTCTGAGCTCTTGCAATTTACAATTGATCTCGTCAAAACCGAGGTCAATTCGGGTGCCCACATTTGTGAGTTCATGGTCGTCGACGAGTCTCGCCCTCGCGCGTGGAACAACAAGACGGACATGTGGTTCAAGTTGAGTGTGAGGAAGCGGAACAAGATATACGACTTCTTATTCCTGCGAACGCGGCCCAACAGAGACACTGACGCCGAGTACGTGCGCTGCAAGGATCACATGTTCACGCTGCTCAGATAACTACCACGGCGCCTCCCTCATGAACGCAAAGGAGGAGTTGACGTTCGGCAGTTACTCCTCCTTGATCTCCACGGAAGATGAGGAGACCACCGACATCGAGTTCGATGCGACCGCGAACGAGGAGGGCAGCGACACCGAAAGCCTCGACCTGCAGTACGGCCCGCATCCCGGGCAGCACACAACAGGGTCTTCCTTCGCAGGTCCGTCAACAAGCCCGACATCCCTCGTGTCACCGATGGCGAAAGCGGCGCCTGGCACTACCCCGATGAAGCTGCTGCAGAGAATGCAAGCTCTGGCCTCCGACCATCGCTCATTGCGTCCTGGGTCTGACATCCCGGCCGATCATCTGTCTTGGAAGGATGCCAACATTCACTTCCTGCCTGAGCCTCAAAGTCGTTCCACGGAGGCGGACTGGGGCCATGACATGATTTGGCATCCAGGAGTCATCCAGCCGGCGATCCAAAAGGGTGAGTGGATCGTGGCCGTCGTTGTTCCGGACGGAGGTTGGGTGCCCCTCCCTCGCGGGTCGAAGTCTGACTTCCTCGACGTCGCTAGAATTGCGGTCCTCCAGAAAGTCAGGGCCGAGAATGACTCTTTCGCACCCGAAGACCTGTCCGTCATTTCCACAGTCGGGCGATTGTTCACCGAACTTCAGGAGAAGTGCTGGTTGGAGCTGACGGAGGACTACTACGACCTCGATACGAGCCCCTCGAAGGGAAGGGTGGACTGGAAAATCCCTCCTCCCAGTGGGACGCATGTAAGTACAGGCTCCAGGGGACCGGACGGTGGGGAGAACGAGGGCCACAAGGCTGGTGGCGGCAAAGGAGTCCCGCCTGGTTCAGAGGGCGGGTCTGAGGGCGACACCACGACAGCGGAAGGCAGCGGCAGGGTGGTGGGGGAGGCCTTCGGGCGTCAGCAGTCTACCGGTCCCGTTCCGGCAAGCTCGGCACAGCAGCGGAAGTGCCCACTTCATCCGCCGGCTCGGAGATGGCGGCCTTGGTTGCTCTCCGTGCCGGCTCGGTCGAAACGTTCAAGTCCGTCGGGATCCGAACTTCAATGCTTGCAGAGCGGACGAAGAGGACGGACGCGCAGAGCTTGTCAGGAGCGGGGGTGGCGAGTCGTGATCCCAAAATGGACAGCGGTGCGGTGAGGGACGAGACTGCGCCACCTGCGGGGGACAGCCAACCGCTTCGGACGGAGCGAGAGGGTACGTGTGGAGGGCCCAGCGACAGGGAGACGGCGAAGTTTGCCGGGATCCGAACTTCTTCAGGCAATGGGGGCCAACCGGGGTTTGTCGTGCCGGCAGGAGGGGCTGCGTGCGGCGAGCGGGAAGGGCATTCGTCAAAATTTGACACGGGTTCGGGCGAAGTGGCTGGATTGCATGCACGGGAAGAAGGCAGGGTGATGGACAAAGAGAAGGAAGGGGAGGAAGGAGACACAGGGGAGAAATTGGAGGAAGGAGGGGAGGAAGGGGAGGAAGAAGAGGATGAAGGGGAGGAAGGACAGGAAGGGGAAGAAACGGAGTTGGCTGGGTGGCAAGGAGGGAAGGACGGAGAAAAAGGTGAACTCGATACAGGAGACGGCGAACGGACGTTCGGCGACGACGATGACAGATCCGGGGAGTCGTCTGACGGATTCGGGCAGCTGTACGGAGAACATCGCGAGGAAGACGACGACGACGATGACACGACACTGGGTATGGAGACACAGGTGGTCACAAGCCTTTCGGCAGAACGTGATGACTATGAGGTCGAAGCAATGACGTCTGTCGTCGATCTCCAACAACGGTTCAACGACACTAGTGTTGCCGTCAGCCTGAATAAACCGAGTGTGCGTATTGACATCGAAGAAGTTATCGACGGCATCCTGGGCGACCACCACATGTCCGCGCAACCATCCTCTACGCCTGGTGTCGACGACCCTCTCGATGTCAAACCTTCCGGGGGATCTGTCGTGGCTTTGTCGCCGATGAATTCTCCGATGCTGCCGCCGACCATCGCCAGCGGAGGAGAAGGCGAGATCGGGGGACGACAAGATGTCACATCCCCGAAAAAAATTGTCGCCGGCACTCGAGCTCTCGACGTGCTGGCCTTGCCCACGCCAACTTCGCCGATTAAAGAGCAGAGAGACAAACCAGCTGGTAAGCAGTGACAAATGCAACTCTGTCTGTGCGCCAGTGACCGCAGTGTCTGTCGATGCGGGGAGTTCCTGATGCCGGTATGCTACAGCCACCACTCCTTCAAACTTCCAAGTACATGTGAACGACCATTCTATGAGTCGGCCAGGTCACTATGTAAAGTACATGTGTGTTTTTGTTGAAGCGTTTTGTCACATGATGGAAAGATGGTGTTTCTTTTTCGGAATGAGTGGTGGTTTTAGTCCGCCGGGATCCGCACTGCCAAGGCCGCTGCGTAATGCGGTTACTCTTTTTGTGCCTCGATTAAGAAAAGTCCGCGGGGATCCTGACTTCATAAATGTTTGGCCTCCGCGTTTGTGGCTTCTTGAGGTTTTCCCTTCTAAAGGGCGAGGGTGTGGAGGTCGAATGCACTGCTCCTTTTGTTTTCTACCGGGGCTTGCGCGGAAGTATTCCCTATCTCTTTCCTAGTTAAATGGGGTTCTGTAATTAGATAGGTTCTGCGTCTTCTACATTTCGTGGTTCTTGAATTGTCGTTTTCGTCGGATTCGTCTTCGATTACGTGTATTCATTTTCCGTTTTCTCTTCCTTCGTTTGTCCAGGGGTTGGGTCATCTCCCTGGGTCGGAAAAGTCCGTCGGGATCCGGACTTCAGAGATGTTTGGCTTCCGCTTCTGTGACTTGATGTGCTTTTCCCTTACGAAGGGCGGGGGTGTCGATCTCGAGTGCACTGCTCGTTTTTTTTTGCAACGTGGCTCATGCGGAAGTTCTCTCTCTCGCACTCTCATGGCATGACGGGGTTCTGCAATTGCATAGGTCCTGCGGCTTTTAGATTTTGTGGTTCTTTTATTGTCCTTTCATGGGGTTCTTCTTCGGAAACGTGTATTCATTTTCCGTTTTGTCTTTCGTCTGTTATACAGGGGTAGGGTCGTCTCGAACACGGAGGCCCTCTAAATATCAGGAACACATATTGCAGACAGTCCCGGGGCTGACAACAAAACACAAGGACATGTTAAAGGCGTCAGGGGTTGATGTCAAAATCGGGAAGAAGGAGCATGACATTGCCACTCAGGAGTGTCTTTCCCTTCTGCCCCCAGAGAAAGGGAGATATCCACGATCTGTGACTAGGGGTCAGGCCATGTATGAGAAATATTTAGCTACCCGTCGTGCGATGAAGGAGAATCCTTAGAGTTCCGTTTCTCACTTCCCCCCCTGTCCTTTACTCGATGTTGTGCAGTGCGGGCCACGACACCTGGAACAGCAGTGACTGCGATTGCAGGCTTGAGGGTTTTGGACGACATTGAACGAGGCTTGGTGCCACCTGACACTGTGCTCTCGACCCTCGGCGATGGTCAGTTGCAAATTGCAGCGAAGGATATTCTAACCCTCTCACTTACCAATGGCAGGGTGAATGATGAGGTCGTCAACTTTGACATGGCGCTATTGGGAACGACCGCATATGGGATACGTCACATCCCGTCAGGGCTTCGAGTCTTCAACTTTAATTCTTTCTTCTTCAATAAACTGCAACTTCAAGGACACGGCGGGGTGGAAAGATGGGCTAAAAACGTGGATCTGCTTCAATATGATATTATCTTCGTTCCGGTCCTCAAAGATAGTGATCACTGGATCCTCATTTCCGTGAACTTGAGAGATAATGTCCTTGAGGTTTTCGATTTTTTTCCTTGCGTTGTGGCCGATTCTAGTTTTTACCTTAGTGTTTTCGAGTTGATCGTACATTATTTGGAATGTCAAACATCACATAGGCGGTCGTGTAGGCGCTGGAAGTCGATAGCAATAAATGTTGTTATAGAGGGAGTTCCAAGACAAGTGGATGGAGTTAGTTGCGGGGTGTTTATGTTGATGTTTGCGACACTGTTGCAACATGGCGAACGACCGTCTTTCAGGTTCTCTTGTGAAAATATTCCTTATATTAGACGACAATTGGCATCATGTATCTTAGAATGTCGTTGTCTTTGATGGATTCGATTGATTTGCAAACTTCTGTTTCATAATATTTCATATTTTAATTGTCACTTTCACAACGATATTACTTTCTTTTGGTATTGCGAGGTTGAGTTGTCTTTGGGGTGTTGACTGCTAGTCTGGCGTCGCGTTTTGCCTTCGGAATCTCTGTCATGTCTGGCTCGTCTATCGTGTCATTACATTCATCGCATTGCAGTCCTCGTTGCAAATTGTGTCCATGTCATCCAAAAATGTGCATATGATTCATCTCGAAATGATATTCCTATGTGGTGCGATATGACGAATTGGAGTGTGGATGCAAGATAAATCTCGGCGAGTGTGTGGGTGTGAGGTTCTTTATGCAAAGAGTAAAAGACGAGTGACATCACGTCTCTTGTGTGCATAGACAATCATGTACCGCCTGAATTACATGTAACCGACAATTTTGCGTTTGTGACCAGGAAAAATAAATTGTATGTCGAAATTAACTGTTTGTACTTCTAAAGAAGTCTGCATCTCTACAACATCCAGACAACCGCCTCGGGCGATACGATTGCCATGCATGTACAACTCACGCATAAAAGAAATAAATAGTATTATCGGACAAGGATTCAATCATGACACCCTGCTCATCACATTCACAAACTTGGAGTTTGACAAGTGTGGCTCCCGACACACTATCGCACAGGCATCCCGGATGCGCGTGCCTGTCGCTACTCTACGTCTTCTAATATAATTATCCAACGAGGATGCAATCATGACACATTGCTCGTCACAATTATGGAATAGAAGTTTAACAAGTACGGATCCCAGCACACTTCCGCACAGGGTTCCCTGATGCGCATGCCTGTCGTTATTCGTTTATGAAGTTTAACAAGTACAGATCCTAACACACTTCGGCACAAGATTCCCGACACATTTTTGAAGTTCAACAAGTAAGGATCCCACCGCACTTCCGCACAGGGTTTGCCTGATGGGCGTGCCTATCGTTATTTGTTTATGAAGTTTGACAAGTACGGATCCCACCACACTTCCGCACAGGATTCCCAGCAGTGCCATGTTTTTGAAGTTCGGCAAGTAAGGATCCCGGCAAACTTCCGCACAATGTTCCCGTGCGGCGTGCCTAACATGTACGGGTTTCAACACGCTTCCTCATTTGGAATATCATTTCTAAAGTTTCACCACAAGTACGGATCTCAGCACACTTCTGCATGTGCTTAAGCCTTGGATGGGCGTGCCTACGTTGCGTGGCCGTGTGCCAAAAAAGAATTCGTTAGAAAGAGGACACAGTATAATGTCCTATTTTAACGAATAACATGTTTAAAATAATAACAACAACAATAAAATAAAATAGATATAATAATAATGATAAATAGTAAATACTAACAAAAGAAATTGCTACTTATTTTTGCAGTACGATGCAGCTACTTCAGGTAAGTACCCATGCAGGTAAGGTCGTCGCCTACGAATCTCCCTCGGAGGGGGCCGTCGGAGGCCAAGTCTACGGCCACGGCCAAGTCCGCGACCCCACGGACGCGGCCGCGCGACTTTGCAACCGCATGGCGGCCAGTGGGGAGGGGGGGCGGGGGCTTGGGAAGTGGCATGGGGTGGCGCAGCCCCAAGCCCACCCCCTCAAAAAAAAAAAAATTCTTGGGGGGGGGGGGGGGGGGGGGGGGGGGGGAAAAAAATAAAAAATGTTTTGGGGGGGGGGGGCCGGGCGGGGCCCCCCCCCCCCCCCCCGATGCGCACACACACACACACACACACACGTAGTACAGTATATTTCCCTTATACACATCTAGATGTGTAATAAGAGCGCAGTGTCTGTCGATGCGGGGAGTTCCTGATGCCGGCATGCTACAGCCACCACTCCTTCAAACTTCCAAGTA